CATGAACGTAATAACCTGAAATCCTCGATGGCTGTAGACACGGAACTTACTTCGGTAGCTCTAGTGTCCAAGTCAAACTCGCTAACCCAGATCCAGACACAGTCGGTGTCTATGCTGCTACCGAGAATAGCAAGTTGTCCTTGGTGATCCTCAACAAGAATCCAAGCACTCCCATTTCATATAAGTTCTCCAACATCCCATCTGGCGCGTACTTTATGAGGCACTTCGGTGGTGCCGCAGGTGCAGCAAAGTGGCAGGTATGTGGTATTCCATTTTTCCTCGTAATAGATATTAAACAAGTATTTTATAGACAACAATTACACTAAAAGGTGGTGATTCTCTCGTGGTGCCTCCTTACACCGCAGTTTTCCTTCTTCAACAATGAAGCTTATAAATACCAGAGGATAGTCAATCTTCCAAGTTCTTTAGCATACATGAAGATCTTGTATCTGGACAACAATAAATTGTTATTCTATATTATTTAGCTCACACAAATGAGGTTGATTAGCGTCAAGTAGCATCTGTTAACCCCACGTGACCCAGCGTGACATATTTGGAGGGAAAATGCATCGCTATGACATACTTAGACGCAATTCCTGCCATGAATATTCTTAAAATGTACTCAGGAGTATGCCTGAAAAAAGTTCTGAAAAAAGTTATGACTTCGAGCCAAAATTCTCAAAACAACGTGATTTTGGCAGCTTTTCTTTACTGTGACAACGCGTCAGCGTGGCTCAAGGAACGCGGCCAGAATCTCAATGGCTCAATGGCAGTGTCAAAGATGGTCTCTCATGGATGACATGGAGCGTGAAAATATAGCTTACTTGGTACGGGATATTGAAGTATCTCATCATCATTTATATAGTAAATGTAGCATAGTGTTGCATATACCAAGGTAGATAGTATCGAAGGTTCGGATAAGAACTAACAGGATGTGCCGAAGACTTAAAATATAGTCACGGATTGATCCTGGTGCGAGCTGGTTTAATTATAGAGTTTTGTCCACTTAGTGTAGTTGAATGTATGTTTCCAAAATAAATTGGAAGTGGCTGAGTTTCTTATAAAGAAACAGAATATAAAAGGAATGTTGTAATTCCCCTGTAGGGAATAATCAGGTCTGAGACTTGAATGGATTGAGAACTGAGGGAGATTCAGAAGAACTCAGCCTCTGAGCTAAAAGTCAGAGTCACTGGGTTATAGAAAGGCTTAATGGGAATCTGTTATATACAGGTTATATAACAGATTTGTACTGAAGCTGCAAACTGCGGGGTGAATTTTTCGTGTCCTAATGTATTGAATACAGGCAGTATTTATACTTTTTCGAAGGCTGTGCCGCAGCATTCTCGCAGCACACACGCAAGCACGGCAGATAAGTATTTAAAATAAGAAAGCTGCGTGTCCTTCTGGCAGAATAATTTGCAAAAGTCCGCAGTAAGTAAAAACAAATTATATACTCAATAAGGAAATTGATTGCGAATCGTTCTGGCTGAACCAATGCCGCAATCAAGAAAATATGTCCTTGCTGAGTCTGTGGTCCATTGGAAATAATATCAGAAAAGCAACTGTCAGTGAATTGAGTAACTAATGTGAGTAAGCAAGAAAATATAGTAATACCACATTATGGTATTACAGATAGCGTTCCTGAATGCGTAGAAAGTACATACCATAAGTATCTTGAGAATTCTGTTTTCAAACTACCATAAGAGGTACTGTGACGGTCGTGTGATTGTGATCACGTGAGCATAGCAGAACCGTTCGATACCTTCGCGTGTCTTTTTTTCCTACGCGTGTTCAACCCTTTTCAACGTCCTTTTGCAATGACGCTCAGGAGATCTGCGCGTGTTAAACAAAAGGATGACAACCCCACAAATTCAAGAGATAAACCTAGTGCATCCGCTTTTCAGCAACCTTCGAGGAAACGTCCTAGAACGTCCCAGCCCGTCCGAAATCATGATGCTGGCGCATCTGAAGATGAATTCCCGAGCGATTCCGACGAATCTGGAACTGTCAGTCGCACACGCAAACGAAAACGCGGTGGAGGTGCTTCAGCCAGGAGCCGAAACGGGAAAGTCGTTGCAGTTGACCAAAAGTTCAAGAAAGTCCGGGGTAAACTTGGTTTATTGCAGAGAATTGTGACAGACATGCCCTTAGATGTTATTTTTGAAGTGCGTTTCCTCATCATTGACGCTTGTCTCAACGGCTGATGTTTGTACTAACTTAGATCTTTTTATATCTGGAACCTCTCGATATTCTCCGTCTCTCTCGTACTAGTAGAGATTTACGCGACTTGTTAACTAGTCGCTCCTCGGAATATATTTGGCGCACTGCTCGTCTCAATGTTGAAGGCCTGCCCCCACTGCCGCCTGACTTGAATGAAATGCAGTATGCGAACTTGGCATTCGATAATTTTTGCCATGTACGTAAGGATGTTCATTCTATCTGCAAATGCTCATCAGCGTACAGGCCTGCGGTCATCATCCTTGCGATAACATTCTTTGGGACTGCCGTCTCAGATCCTGTCTGAAATGTGTCTCTACCCTGTGTGTTCCGTCTTAGGTTAAACAATGACATGACTAATACCAGTCTTCCAGACTTGATGATTCCAATGAAATCTTAGTCGAGTACCCAACGGTTCACTTTTCGGTCTTGCAGTCATTGGTTCCAAATTTTAGTTATAGGGACAACAGGCGTAAGAAAATGGCTTGACACAAGTTTTTTCAAAGTCTGACTAGTGTACTTGGCAGGCAACGGTCGTCAACAGCGATTATATTCATCTGATGCATATCGGAGACTGTTGGCAGCTTACCAGCAGTTGCCGAAAGTGGAAAACAGCGAAGGAATCGTAAAACTTGACGAAGATCAAAGGATTGCTTGGTTCGAGTCGATGGAAGCAGAAAGAAATGACCATTTGCAGGTTGGTTCCTCCCATTTGTCCTCGTGCCGTTACTTAAGCTGTTTTCCAAAGCACGTTGCTTTATGCGAAGCATGGGTCCGAGAGCAGCGTTCAGATCGCGTTAATGAACTTGAGGAAATTCGTCGTCAACGGAGGAAACAGTAAGCTTCTGCCCACGCTTTTTCCCTTAGCACCATTCCATGCTCATGACTTTGTAATATTAGGATTGAGACCCGACTTCGTGATCTGGGATGGGGCCCTGAACTAGAAATACTGCAGTACTCGTCCGATTTCGCATTTCACAAGACTGTCAAACAAACAGCCAAACTGACAGATCGAGGTTTTATCCTTGCCTTTCTCGCCACCGTCCAGTCTCTGAATTGTCACTTTTAGGATGGGCGAAAATAGCACCTGCTTTGATCGAGATGATGCAAGGCGAAAGAGCCAAACGTCTTCGATGCGATACACTTCAAGCCAGATTTATTAACCTGAAGGAACGTTACGAACAATACATCTTAGATCAAGGTCTCGAAGAATCAGGTTATCCTCCTTTTGGCGACATCATCGCGTCCGAGATGTTCCAAGCTGTCATTTGGGACACCCCCCTTGATGAGGCAATTGCTGACGATGCTTTTGATGAGGGATTCACCAAGATGCAGGAATTCATCGAACGGTGGATAGAGCAGAAAACACAAGTGCTACTTCAGATGATCAGGGAAACTTCACCAGATGTCGCAAAAGATAGTCTGCGATCTGCATCGACTGTGTTGTGTTGTCGAAACTGTGGCGATTACTTGTGGTACCCCAGAATTTTCAATCACCCATGTCAGTCACAACACTCTTATTGGCACTGCTCCGATCCGCACTTTGACCCTTACAGTCACTTTGGAGCCCCATGGAACACAAATATTGCTGTACACCGAGGTTTGGTGTTCCCATCGAAAGCATCTCAAATCATGAAGACGGTTCTGCAAGTTTGTGGATTACCTATTGACGCAACTATAAGGGATCTAGATAGCTTGAATCCATTATTCGAATGCAAAACTTGCACTGACGATCCGTATCAACCCACGGCTGGATCTGGACGGGTTTTCCTTCGGTGGCCAAAAGTGGTATGTGATTTGGATTTCCTAATGCCAGCCGTATTTATCGACTTTTTGATCAGCTCATTCATGGAGCACAAGATTGGAAAGCCCATACTATCACTATCGACATACGTGAGGAACACAAACAGAAGGTTTTGGCTGAAGAGAGGGCTATCTGCTCTGAGAGCTTGATAACTCGTGGCCTCGATTTTCATTGTAACTATTGCCCAGATCCCCAGCAAGCAATGGACTTTGCTGGCGTTAAAGTGCACCTGGAATCTGAGTATGTCTCTGCCATCCTTGTTCTGATTGACAATTTCACCTTAGATCGCATGCAGGCATCATATCCAACAGGATCAAGTGAATTGTAACGACTGGCGCTGGATCCCAACGCTAGCATTTATTTTCAAGCATAAGCATCTACCGCTTTTTCGAGTGAAGGTGGATGATGTTCTGTTGGACGCCGGTCAGTCGGGGTAAGCAGTTGATTCTCTTGAGGTTGAAAGTGAAGCGAAGACTTGCGGATGTTGTTGAATCCTTGTTACTCCGTATTGAGAATCAATGTATGCACATTATTGGTCTCTCGTAAATATTTCAATGCCTTACTGGATGATCATGTACTACACCCAAGGAAATTCCAAGACTAGGATCATAAGCTACCCGAGAGGTTCAAACTCTCGACCTTCCGATTTTATTGTTCCACAAACTGATACATTTATCACACTCGGACATTGTAATCAACTGGGCTATGGGGCAGACGGGTTCTGCAAAGACTAGGTACAAAATTTGACGATCGTTGATGGTGATTTTCAAATTTCCGAAGGGCGGCGCAAAAAAAAGACAGAGGTGTGTCGTGGCAATTGTGGCTAGGACCCAGATGGAACGTACATGCGGCCTACCAAGCGAACGATTTGCAGAAAAATGTATACACTTTTATGCCGTGATACTTACCTGCGAGGGCTGCGCAAAATGAAGTATCTCTTTTTCACCGAAGAGGAAAAACGATCTATTACATTTTTCCACTGCCCCAGAGAGGCTCGAACTCTCGACCTTCCGATGTCTTCCAGCCGTAGCCGTAACAGTCGGACGCTGTAACCAACTCAGCCATGGGGCAAGACACGGAGGTTAAGATGAACAGAGACCTTGTCCGTGGCAAGCGCGATATTGTTCTTCATGTACCAAAGTGCTGATTGGGTGGCTCCATCTGGGGCTTGGCATGCTTGAATATACTTGGATTGTATGAAAGAATTTCAGCTTGAGAATGGGGAATGATGGGTTTCGGTCTCAAGCTGCGCACTGTATATATTTCCAGTGATTCTCAATTCGCATTCAAGCCAATCAAGCTGAAAGGAAAATGCAAACCTTCATTACTGCCGACCTTGCGATATCCAAGGAGCCTACAAGTGCATATCATTGGATTGAGAATCAAGAAGGGAAGTAGGGCCCAAATCGTTGGTTTTCGTACGCCCAACAGTTGGGATAAGAGGGATTTGAATTGCGGGGTTAAGGAACTTTTGCCAGCTAGCTATTCACTGTAAATAAATGGGCCTAATACTTAACACCGAGTTGAATTTCTACTACGAGGTTCCCAGAAGAGGTACTGGGAATCCCGCATACAGTTCTATGCTTGAATATAAAAGTAGAGATTATATTTTGGGAGTGGACGGGAGAAAGCAAACCACTCCTGCTGATACTGCCCTAGAGAGGCTCGAGCTTTCGACCTTCCGATAGCAAAATACAGCCTTTAGAATATATCAATTGCTGTAACCAACTCCGCCATGGGACACAGGGCCAAGGCCGAAATGAGGACTAGGTCGATAAGCTAGAGAGAAGGAGAGGAGAGAGAGAGCATGAAGCATCGCTGATTGGACCGTAAAGGGAGTCAATATTGAAATTCGCCCGACTCTGAACCAAAGTTGCGCCGGCATAACTTTTTAAGTACCCATCGATTGCCAAGTCTGACGAGATAAGTCGAGTATCCAAGACCTGTTCTCGAGAATTGCCAAGTCTCCGCATTAACACAATGCTTTTTGAAACTGAAGAGGAAAAGGTAAATCGAAGGTCGAGCGCCACACAGTGGGCCAGTAATTTAAAGGGCTAAAATTGACCTTGGCAGGCTTGGGATTGCCAAGACCCGGTTGAATTTTGGAAGCGGCGACAAAACATTCAACTTTTGCTTTGGGCTGTCCACCGATGAGCGGCAGCAGTAAAAGGGGGAGTACGTACATCTAGCTGCCCCAGAGAGGCTCGAACTCTCGACCTTCCGATTAACAGTCGGACGCTGTAACCAACTCAGCCATGGGGCATTGAATGATGTGGCAGAAAAGGCGATACCTGTGCTGCCAGCGGCGTTTTACTTGGCTTTTTATATTAGTTTGACGGACGTTGCGGGGCAACTACGCTTGTGTTGCGGGGTTCACAGCGATAAGAAGAGAAGAAGAGAGAATGAATGCTTAGCCTTGGAGCAGGAATCGATGGGTTGACGCGTCTGCCGATGCCAAAGCAACGCGTCCTGATAAGCGGACTTAAAGTGGAAAAGCGCCTCTTCAAATTCTTGACTGTCTACTACCATCTCATCTACCACGATGAGTCTTCATCCCCCCCGTCTTGCCCCCATGTTTGCCAACAGTCCCAGTGCTCCTGGGACACCCGTTCATTCCATCCAGACCATGCGTCGCAAAGCCGCTGGTCATTCCGGTCCACTCACAAAGATCCTCGTCGCAAACCGAGGTGAAATTGCCATCCGTGTCTTTAGAACTGCACACGAATTGGCCATGCACACCGTTGCCATCTACTCGTACGAGGACCGCTTATCGGCCCATCGTCAGAAATCAGACGAAGCATACCAGGTCGGCAAAGGTCTCACTCCCGTCGCCGCCTACCTCGCTCAGGATGACATCATCCGTATTGCTCTCGAGCATGGCGTCGATATGATCCATCCTGGTTATGGTTTCCTTTCAGAAAATGCACAGTTTGCACGCAAGGTCGAGCAGGCCGGCATCGCGTTCATTGGTCCAACCCCAGAGGTTATTGATGGACTCGGTGATAAGACAAAGGCTAGGACCATTGCCATGAATTGTGGAGTACCTGTCGTCCCTGGTACACCTGGCCCCGTAGAAAGTTACAAGGACGGAGAAGCGTTTATTCAAGAGTATGGTTTCCCTGGTGTGTATCTAGTATGCAAACCTATCTAGTCCGCGTTCTTACATGATTATAGTGATCATCAAAGCCGCCATGGGTGGAGGCGGTCGTGGTATGCGTGTTGTTCGCGAACAGTCTGATTTCAAGACCGCTTTCGAACGCGCCGTCTCTGAAGCCAAATCCGCTTTCGGTGACGGAACCGTCTTTATCGAGCGTTTCCTTGAACGCCCTCGTCACATTGAAGTCCAGCTCTTGGCTGATGCTGAAGGAAACACCATTCATCTCTTTGAAAGAGATTGTTCGGTTCAACGTCGCCATCAAAAGGTCGTCGAAGTCGCTCCCGCGACTCATCTTCCCGAGGAAGTCAGACAAGCCATTTTGAACGATGCCATCAAGTTGGCGAAGAGCGTCGGGTATAGAAACGCGGGAACCGCAGAGTTTTTGGTCGATCAGATGGGAAGGCATTATTTCATTGAGATTAACCCAAGAATTCAAGTCGAACACACCATTACGGGTTAGTGTCTTGCCTTCTTTCCGTGTCTTCCGTGTTCTCCCGTCCCATGGTCATTCACATGTCCTTTCTTCTAACCATTTAGAGGAAATAACGGGCATCGACATTGTCGCCGCTCAAATCCAAATCGCCGCCGGTGCAACCCTTCCCCAACTTGGTCTCACTCAGGAGGCAATCACCAAACGTGGGTTTGCCATTCAGTGCAGAATCACCACAGAAGACGCGTCTCAAAACTTCCAGCCTGACACGGGTAAGATTGAAGTCTATAGGTTCGTAATTCAGATTTGGACCGTTTTAGCATGGTCTGACGTGTTTCTGACGTATAGGTCTGCTGGAGGCAACGGTGTTAGGTTGGATGCAAGCTCTGGTTTTGCGGGCGCGCAGATTACGGTGGGTCTTGGCGTGCTTCTTCTCTTCTCCGTTATCGTTTCTTCGGTTTCTTTGTTTTTCTTCTTTTGCTTGGAGTTTGCTATTGTCAGTTGGCCAGGGGGACATGCTCCATCCGAACCCCGACAAATCCGAGACTTTCCCGTGTTTTTTCTTGTCTGTCTGCGCTGCACGGGTGCTTTTACCGACAGCCGAGTCAATCTCATCTGATTTCTTTTCTGCGCTTTTCACGAGTATGAGATACTGAGAATTTTTTCGCTCTGTAGCCTCACTACGATTCTTTGCTTGTCAAATGTAGTGTCAGTGGCACAACTTACGAAGTTGCACGTCGTAAGATGTTGCGTGCACTAGTGGAATTCCGTATCCGAGGAGTCAAGACAAACATTCCCTTCTTGTTCAGGCTGTTGACGCATGATGTGTTTATTGGAGGAAAGACATGGACTACTGTGAGTTTTCTCTTCATGTGTCATGTACACGAAAATTGAAGCCCACCCACCCATCTAGTTCATCGACGACACCCCCGACCTCTTCAAACTTGTCCAATCCCAGAACCGTGCTCAGAAACTCCTTTCCTACTTGGGAGATCTCGCCGTCAACGGTTCCTCCATCAAAGGCCAAGTTGGCGAGCCCGGCCTCAAAACCGACATCATCATTCCAAAACTCCCTGGTCGTGAAGACCCTTCTGCACCCTTGGACCCTCTCGTTCCTCCTTCTCCTCTCGACTCTTCCCTACCCCCATTGGACACTTCGTTCCCATGCGAAGTTGGCTGGCGTAACATTATCGTCGACCAAGGTCCCGAAGCCTTTGCCAAAGCTGTCCGTGCCTACCCAGGTTGTCTCATCATGGACACTACCTGGCGAGACGCTCACCAGTCTCTCTTGGCCACTCGTCTTCGTACCATCGACATGGTCAACATTGCCAAAGAAACTTCCTGGGCTCTCAAGAATGCCTATTCCTTGGAATGTTGGGGAGGTGCTACATTTGATGTTGCGATGAGATTCTTGTACGAAGATCCTTGGGAGAGGTTGAGGGAGTTGAGAAAGTTGGTTCCGAATATCCCGTTCCAGGCTCTGGTTAGGGGTGCTAATGGGGTCGGGTACACGAGTTACCCTGATAATGCGATTTACGACTTTTCAAAGAAGGCAGTGGAGAATGGGTTGGATATTTTCAGGGTGTTTGACTCGCTGAACTACTTTGGTAGGTTTCTCTTTTTGCTCCTGTGAGCGATATTGACGGTTCTCTCAGAAAACATGCGTCTCGGTATCGATGCTGCCAAAAAGGCCGGAGGTGTCTGTGAAGCAGTCGTTTGTTACTCTGGTGACGTTGCTTCGCCCAAAGAGACCAAGTACACTTTGCAGTACTACTTGGACTTTGTTGATCAGTTGGTCAAGGAGGGTATTCATGTTCTTGGAGTCAAGGATATGGCAGGTTTGTTGAAGCCTCAGGCCGCGACTATGTGAGTCCGCGTCACCTTTTTCTATTCATATGCACGAATGCTGACTCTCTCCTAGGCTCATCGGTGCCATCCGTCAACGCTACCCTGATCTCCCTATCCACGTCCACTCTCACGACACTGCCGGAATCGCCGCCGCTTCCATGCTCGCTGCTGCCGCAGCCGGAGCCGACGTCGTCGATGTTGCTATCGACTCCATGTCTGGTCTCACTTCTCAACCATCCATGGGAGCCGTTTGCACTGCTCTCGAACAGACCAAGTTGGGAACTGGAATTCGTTATGAAGATATCCAAGCGCTCAACTTGTACTGGAGTCAAGTCCGTATGCTCTACCAATGCTTCGAGGCGAACGTGAGGGCGAGTGATTCGAGTGTGTTTGACCATGAGATGCCGGGAGGACAGTATACGAATTTGATGTTCCAAGCTTCGCAACTTGGGTTGGGGACTCAGTGGAGTATCATCAAGCAAAAGTATATCGAAGCTAATGAGCTTGTGGGTTTTTCCTTTGGTCTTTCACCGTAGCGTGCTGATCTGACCTCTTGTAGTGCGGTAACATCATCAAAGTAACTCCCTCCTCCAAAGTCGTCGGTGATTTCGCCCAATGGATGACCTCCAACTCGCT